GTTATTAGTACTATAAAAGAGTAAATACTAATCCGTTTTTGATTCATATTCCCTCTATAAATGTTGTTATTACAGGCACAGCTGCCTAAAATGTCCGAGAAAGAATTCAGAAAACGTTTAATGCATCCGATATATGTGGAAAAGTTGAAGAAAGCGCCGAGGAGACTTCTTAGGAAACCCATTTCTCTTAAAAAAGTCAGAATTCCAAAAAGGTAATTTGTATCACTTAGAAGCTAATTCACAGTAACTAAATAGCTAAGATATTCTTTAAACACAAAATTAGTTCAAAAACTTGCTCTTGTTAAAATGAAGCCCTTTAGTTTCGATGCCCGAAAAGAATGGAGTGATTGCGATTCGATAACTCTTATTCGTGATCAATCAGGCTGCGGTAATTCACGTTAATATTTAGAGGATTCTCTTCTTCGTTTGGGAAAGTTTAGTTGACATCCAGGGGCGTGTTGGGCTATTGCTGTTGCATCAGCCATGTCGGACAGATATTGTATAACCAAGCAATGGGCTAAGGGTTATGGTTTCCAGGTACGATACATGATTGAGTAAATGCTGTAATGCTTTCCATTATAGGTGATCCTTTCCGACACTGAGATTCTTGCTTGTTGTGACGATTGCGCAATCAACGGGACTGGGACGGGGTATGTGCATAAAATGTTCATTAAAGTCTGCAGCATGTAATTAACTGCTTTTTGTCAAAATTTTATAGTGCAGAAGTTGATTAATATATTTCGCCTAGATGCACTGGAGGATATGCACATAAGGCACTTGAGTACCTAGTGGATCATGGAACTGTCTCAGGAGGAATGTATACCGATAGGGTAATGAGAATTTGCAATGCTGACCATAATCACAAACGGCTGATTGTAGCTTCCTGTTTCAAACTAAAGCTCTTCAAAAAAAAGGAACCGGAAGTTTTCATAACCACAGTCATGCTTCATTAAGCTGTAAGAGAGGCGGTCGATAGACTTCTACATAAACAACGAAGACTTCGGCATCTTTACCAACTATGCCTTCGTAGATCTTCGACAACTATTCTACCGCAATGTTTTTTACACAAACTTGATTTGTGTGGGTGGTTTCAGAATTTGGAACATAACCCGTAAAGTCTACCAAACTTCCAAAAGAAACTCATTTTTGTTTTATATGCATTTATAAAGTAACCACGATTGTAGTATGATTTCCAAAGACTGTTCGGCTGGGC